GTATACAAATTTACCGTGTCCAGACTGTTCTATTTTCTCCATGCTTCATTCACATGCTCCCGTCCAGACACTGACGGAGATGAACACGAATTCTGATCCACCGCCCAACAAGCGAAGAGCCCGTTGCCGCTTCAAGCCGTAATTTGGCGGAGGTCATCTTTGGGCTCTGGGCCATGACGGTCCCCACCTTAGCACAGTACTTCAACGTCAAGACGAAACAGCTGCCGAGACGTTGGGAATCCAATTTCGATGCGAAGCCGCTGCTATTATCCGCAGCTTCTGCGTTTGATGAAGGGGTCCCAAACGAACAGCCACGAACAGTAACTAACCCAAGCCTCCATCGAAATAATGTGATCGCTCAGTTCTGCCAGCTCTGTGTCCCTGTCCCTGCAATGCGCCGGGCTGGCCTGCCAGTATCCGATGAGGCTCTGCTAGATCGGGGTCACAACATGTCATTGAAGCTCGCTCCCGTGACCCTTAACCCCTGCCACGAATGCACTGGGTTATAAATTCGTCATCCCCCTCAACCTCAGCTTCCTCGGCTTGTTCCTCTCGCTATCCGCCGTCGCAATACTGATCCGCGAGCGGTGCCTGTTACCACCGCCCCAGCACACGTGACCTGTCGCGCCTCTCATCTGTTAACATTCTATTCGCCAAAATCCTACGCGACCGCGAACACTACCAGACGCCTCGAAATGACGCTGACAGAGGAGCAAATCAACACTATCGCAGATTGTCCCCTCAACGACTCACTCACGCGTTTTTCACAAAAGCTAAGCCACTTGGAAGGATCTAATGAAGCCTGGCGCACTGACGTTGCCACTGTCCTGCCAGTTTTGATTGCCTCGCCTGCCGCGTACAACCTTGCTTTGCCAGACGGGGGAGTCAATGTGGCCGTTAAACTACTCACTATACTTCAGCATGTACGAGGAGGCCTGCTCAAGTTCGATCATTTCCGCCCACTTATCAACGCCGTCGCCACGGACTCCCCCGACACCGACGTTTGGGCCGCGGTTATCGACCTCATTGACACTGTCAACCCGTCAACACCTCCGCCATCGAGCATCATTCCGACAGGCCATGGGACGCCAGTCAAAACAAGCTCCAGCAGGCTCGAGGACAGTGAAACGCGCGACATCGTCGAGCGTGAGCTATTCTACGAAATAAAAGACTGCACCCACAGGGGAGTGCCCGGGTTTTTCGAGAAGCACTTCGATACAGCAAACTGGACCAAAGCTCAGGCAAAAATGCTAAAGTCGATCCTGGCAAATCACGACGGAACAAAATGGATCGACTTCCCGGCCGACCCGTGGGAAGCAGCGGTATGGAAATGGCTGCAAGGGCTCGAGGAGAAAGCCTTGGCCGGGGCGCAATATACTCTGCATACCAATAAAAGTGCGACCGAGTTTAAAGAGCGCAGGGGCCAGATGGACATCTTCTTCCAGAAACCAGAACGAACGAAGGGTCGATTTGAATATAAACACGTGCTAGTTGCTGGGGAGCACAAGCGGTCCTTTGCCACCGCCGACTTTAAAGCATGCATGTTGCAACTCACGCGACACGTTCGAAGCATCTTTGCCGACCAACCGATGCGCCGGTTTGTGCACGCGTTCACCATCAAGGCTGCGACAATGGAGCTGTGGATGTACGATCGCTCTGGCGCATATAGCTCGGGCGAGTTCAACATTCATCACGAACCGGAGAAGGTGGCGCGTGCTCTTGTTGCATATGCTACCATGGACAATGGTGCGATGGGGTTGGATATGTCAATTGAGTGGAAAAATAGCCATCGTTACATTACAGTGGAAGATGGCAACGGTGATGACAAACGTGTGGAATTGAACCGGCTGCTTGTCAGGCAACGGGCCGTGGTGTGCAGGGGAACAACGTGCTTCTCGACGAAACAGGGCGTGGCTAAGTTTTCTTGGCGTTCCGATAAGCGGCAACCGTCCGAAGTGAAGCATCTGAAGCTGGCGCAGGAGAAGGACGTGGAAGGCGTTGCTACACTAGTAGGGCATCGCGAGATTACCAGCATTGCTGATCTGCGAGCGGGCCTAGAGTTCTCCAGCAGCACACGGCATGCCTTTCGAACGACAGCTCAGGACCGATCATGCGGGTATAATCGCCTGCAGGGCTCGGAGAGCAGTGGCTCCAGCCGAAAACGCAAGTCCTCAGACAATAATCCTCGTCCTCGCACGACGCGGCGATCCAACAGTCAAAAGTATACACTGAGGCAAGCGTACGATCAATCGAGCGAAGCAAACGACGAAGCGAGCGGCGAAGCGAAGTCGAGCATATACACCCCAAACCGAGAGGACCCGTACGAGAACCGCATTTTGTCTTGCATTGTCATTTCCCCTGCAGGACGTGTCATCAGCGACTTCAGCACCATTCGCGAGCTCCTCGAGGCCCTCCGTGATGCCATCCGAGCGCATCGATCCTTATACTTGAAGGGCAGGATACTACATCGCGACATTTCGTCAAACAACATTATCATAACAAGACCAGACCAAGCCGATGGCTTTAAGGGAATGCTCATCGACCTTGATCTTGCCAAGGAACGAAACAGCGGTCCAAGCGGTGCACGCCATCAGACAGGTACGGTGCAATTCATGGCGATTGAGGTGCTTCGCGGCGTAGACCACACCTATCGCCATGACCTAGAATCGTTTTTCTACGTTCTCATATGGATGTGCGCTCGCTGCGCATGGGATGAAGTGAAACGTTTTCGCAAAGAGGGCGAAACAGCGCCAGAAGAAAGTCTTCTGCGCAAATGGGAAATAGGCAGCTTCAAAGACATTGCGAGTGCAAAAATGGGCCACATGACTGTCAACAGTCTGGAGGACATCATGAAGGAGTTTCCGGAGTCATTTGACATGATCAAACCACTGTGTTTGCGCATTCGGTCAATACTATTCGGCGATACAGCGAGAATGATGATTGGAACACCTGCTGGAGATCCGGAAAGACTTTATGACCGTATTACTGCCGCGTTTGGCGAGGTAGTCGGTTAGATATTTAAGGTTCAGAGAACAGGGTGGCTCACAGAGGTGGAGTCTTGGATAGTGGGCCAGATAATCTAAAATCCTAGCATCGTGTAAGGAGCTGATGTACGAGCCGTTTTCAGCTACTGAAATCTCCTAAAGTATTTCATCGCGAATCGACTGGTTTCCACTTTGTCAAGTTGCGCTGCTGGATGCATGATACATACCTGGCTTGCTACGTATTAACTATGTAGCCTT